AATGCATGAATTAAGTAAACTCAGGTATTATTTAGAATCGAGGATTAGTGATATGGGTGTTTAGAATGTTCAGGGTATTATGGAAAAGTACTTTTGAATGGTAGAAAAGGTTTATTAAAATTCAAATACAGTAATTCAATGATGTAATATGCACATATAATTAATATGTACAATAAACAATTATTGTATGAAATGCATGGCAGAGCAAAGAATGAAAACATTGCAAAATAAACAGGAATATTCACATAAATATACAATAATATGAAACAATTAAGTGTTATGAGTAATAATATTACTCAGATTTTTCCTTATAGTTAAATCTTCATTTTCACTGCTCTTTTAATATCTTGTGTTGGTGGTTGGCCTGCACGCATTCTTTAAGCGATAATCTCTGTGGCACTTCATCAAACCCTAAATTGTTGAAACAAACATTACCAAATGCTAACTTGTAATGACATTAATACATGCATCATAACAAATACACAATGAATATTAAGAAAATGTTAATGTACCAATATTTCTTGTTTCAGTAGTATCAATTCTTGAAATATCATAAAAGAGGAATTAGACATTTTTGATTAAACATTCAATTATACATCTATCAATTTCAGTGTTATAGTGTGGCACCAGGGTAACTATGCGAGACACACTAATCCCTCGAAGATTTCTGATTTACAAAATAATTTTGGCAGTAACTTGTAAAGGCTAAAAAAATATTATCAAAAAGATACAATTCTTAAGTAATTGACATATATTTTGCAGAAATACTTCGGAACTGTTTGAGCTGGTATTCGTGAGAATCCATTGAGTAATTTTTGAATGCAGAATAGTTTGAACTGAGAAACAACAGAGAATGCAGTCAAATTATATCCCTAAGTATTCTTTCATTTCACTTTCTAATGCATGCATAATAGCATTAATTAAGAATTTAATAAAAACATTAAAAATAATTACATGAAGCAAGATCTCTAAAATTTCAAAATTGCATATAATTAAAATCTAGTTTAATATCTGCAATACATTTTTAACTCATCATATTTTCATAAATTTAACTTTACAATCTAAGACTAATTACAATAAGACATACTTTATGACAAAAGAACATGAACTTCCACAATAAATATAATGAGTATCATTTAGTCTGAGATTAAAAACTATACTAGGAAACATTCTGGAAAACCATATTTAATACGTTTTAAACTATTTTACTTTCCATAGATAAAGTTTCATCCCTCTCATCAAAATTATTAAATATTCATCAATCTTTTGATCGTCAGTTTCTATTACCTGCTAGTGAGGCAGAATGTATTCACCAAGACACAAAGAATATGTATTACATACATGTAAAATATAGAAAATACAGTGGCTTTGCTCTGCGCGAGCATGCAACCTATAATTAACTTACTGCAGTTTCAGGATCTTTACCTAGACCAGTTCTTTCGAGAACATTCTGGCATGTTATATAACCGCTAGTATACATACTGAATACGTGCCATTTTTCGTCAGACTGCTTTCTTCTACCGCTGCTACAAGACCTTGCAGCTGCTCATCCCATCTTGTTCTTTCCTTTGTTAAAACAGTTATGACATAGAGTCTAAATTTAATCTTAATTAGTTTAAATCAATATTGAATATAAAATTTTGAGAATTTCATCTAAAGGCAAAATGATCTGCTATGAGAATTGAATAAAGATGTGGGATCTAAAAAGCTAAATCCATTTTTTGTTGTCATTTTGCAAGCCTTCTACTCAGCCATAACAATACCTGGCCTATGATGTAGTTATATTCGTCAAGGCTTTTGTCATTCCGGTGTCTGCCAAAATATTACATACATACGTATGAAAATTATTAATATAAGCTACATAATGTAATCTACCACAACTATTTTGTCACAGTAATTAGAATAAAGGTCTGAAATATTGCCGTGTCTTGCAAAATATCAACTAAATCTATACACAAGAATTTTCCATTAAACGTTTTGTGCAGACCTGATAATCATTATATACACTGTTCTTTGTATGATGTACTGAACTGTAAAGCTCCATGTATACAAACATTTCAAGACACTTGATTTTTATTCTGTTGCAGAAGCAGACTGTTTATTTTCAATGTATATAATAATAAGCAAAGATTATATGTGACAAATTTTCAGTTCTATAATTTTTATATCTAATATACAGTGCACTATTATGCTAATTAGCAATTTTTATTTTCAAATCCTTGCAATATTATGTTGGTGATTATGGGTGGTCTATTATTCATCTGTTTTCTTATCCGTCATGGAGACTAAGACTGTTAATCAAAGCTCAAATGTATCCCTGCCTCCTGTAATTTTAAAGAAATATTTGAAGGAAAGATAGGTTAAATTACATAATAATTATACGTACTTTGCTTGTGCGTTTAAAGTCAGACATAATATTCAACAACTAGTATGCTTGAAAATGCCCAAGTGGGATTTGAATGGCTTCAATAACATATACTGGAAAATTAAATAAAAGTATTATAAAAATATTGCGCCCATTTGGATGGCTTAAATAATAGTTGTGTAATAAAAGAAAATTTTAAATATGATATTAACTAATTAATTTTTTTAATTTTAACTTTTTGACCTTTAAACTGAAGAGGTAATGCTTCTGGTTGATGTTATGCGAAAACCTGAAAAGCAAACGAAAACTGCACTAAATCTAAAAATGTTTCCAAATTTCAGAAATCTGTAAAAAACTAATATAGTCAACAATGTCTGATTAGCTGAATTTGTTGGCAGATGATGATTCAAATCTGAATATAGGAGACATGTAAATAGTATAAAAGCACACCAAATTTATATCACTGTGAGAGTCATCGTATGTGTGAATGAGTGCATACTATAAATTAAGTACAAGTCTTACTTTGAATTACTTAGTGTGATTATGCACTAATTTTTGCATTTTCTTGATTCATATATTTAATTAGCATTATTACAAAATTAAATAATGTCTGTAATAATTGCAACTAAAATGCCTGAAATTGAAATCATTTTATAAAAATCTTTAAAAGGATGATTCAAGTATTGAAAAATCTTAGATCATAACTTGGTCATACACATAAAATATTATTATTATTTTTATACCAATAAAATAATATGTTGTTCAATGCTGAATGAATTATTTAACAATAAGAGAGTGTCAATTGTTGTGAAATCACATCATAATAATAAGAGAATTTATAAAAAATGAAAAAAGGGGTTTTATTTTAAAATTTTACTATTTAGTTAAGAATGATTATCTACTAACTGTAATTCATATATTCAACTCTGGTACACACTTTCTACAACTTATCTTTGGCTACTATAGTCTGTGTAGTCAGCTTGACAGATACAGGCAAATGATGATTGACAGTCATAATTGTTATCTTGCCTTCCTGGTACATGTGCAGTGCATGTACTACATGTTTTCCTATAACTTGCATGATGGCATACATACTTTTGACTGCAGAAATATACAGTTTTATGAAAAACTTATTTGCAATAATATATAGCACACATGAAAACAATTCAAGCATACTTTATAATATTAAAGTGCAACGTTATGTAATCATTGACGAAAATTACATACATCAAAATATACTTTATTGTTGACTTTACTATTACTTTAGGATTATTAAAAATCGTCATCAATTCCTACATGCTGTACAATCATCTGCCTTTTAAAAATAGAACTTGTTACATTTAACATTTCATCAGGTTTTTCTATTCAATAAATATTTAATAATATAAGGAGTTAAGTAAATTTGAACTAACTATATTTTATTTTTACCAATTCTTTACAGTTACCACAATTTATTACATTACGAGTTCATTACATTATTTTATAGCATCTTAACTTCAGCCAAAACATTTCATCACATTTTGAGATAAAAGACCCAAGTACCTTGCACCAGTTTTAGTTGCAATAAAATTACGCAGTAAATACCAATAGTTTTCTTCTTGAAGTTTCTTGAAAATGATGTTTCTTTTCGAAAAAAATTAAAATAATAAGGAAACATCTTTCTTAATGTTACATTATATAGAAATTTAGGAAATGCTAAAAAAAGTTAATGAACTGTATGTGTGTTAAGAAAGATGGTACTGTGACATAGTACATAAACATACTTGCACGTATCACATATCAAATTTACTGAAATGGGAAAATATATACATACCTGAAAGCAATCTTGCAATAGCATTTGGTTTGAAGCTCTTGCGCTATCCACTGGGGGCATTCTGTAGTTACGCTGACTTCCTTTAACCCATTTTTTTTTTTTTTTTTTGCACTCTTTAATCGAATTTATACTTGATCGTATCATTCAACTTTGCAAGTTTTTGGAAGCAGCACAGGAAAAATCGTATTTTAACACGTAATTATTTTACATTTGCACATATACTCTACGAAGACTTAAACGCCAGATTTGGTTTACAATCAGATGGCGCAGTTACATCTACCATACATACCTTATTTATCATTCTTTTCAAATCGCGTCAACATAATAATTGAGCCAAATGTTTTTCTGGGCATGCGCAGTATGCGACATTCGTATACTGCGCATGTATACTTCGTGCGCTTCGTACACTGTTCAACTCAATGTGCGGTCTGCCATTACGCATCCCGTTCGTCTGGAATCGAATCCAGGCCAATAAAGCGCCAGCGCTGTCGTTCAGCTATTAACTTTATGTTACACAAACATTTAAGCGAAAACGTGTACAACAAAAAATGCATTTGGAAGTGATTAATTTTTTTTTTTTTTTTCTGAATAAGACGATAAGTTTTATTAAGAACTCTTCTTTCAGTTTTCAAAATTAAAGTTTAGAAAAATAAACATATTTGGCATGAAATTTTAAAATCGTTGTTGAATCTTGTCGTATCACAGTGTTGAAGACTTAAGCATTTTTAAATACAAACATATTTAGTGATTACTAATTTAAAATTATTTAAACTAAACCTAGTAACATATTTAATGTATATAAAATGTTTTATAATTTTTCAGATTAAAGTTAACATTTTCGTGTATGATGGACCTGTATAGATTTCCTTTAGACTCCCAGGTTTGCACTATTGAGCTTGCGTCATGTAAGTATTATACTTCAATTTTCTATAATTAGCATAAAGTGAATAAAATAAATAACTATATATATATATATATATATATATATATATAGAAATTGAATTAAATTAATAAATTAAATTTAAATAATTTAAATAAATTAAATTTAAATATAAATTTAATTAAATAATTCTTTGCGCCATTGCTGCAAGGAATGAAATTTAAATTTAAACAAATTAAATTTAAATTTTAACAAACACGTATAAAAATAAAAAAGCAAATTTAAAGCCAAAAAAATTATTTAAAAAAATGTGTAAACATATAAAAGATCTAAAAGATTTAATTCTCGATCTAATCTACAATATCATTTAAATTCAGACGCATAAGCAGATCAAGTGCAATACCAATCGATGAAAATAAATTCACTAATTTAGCAAATTAAAATTAATCCAAACAATTTTTTTAAAATGCTTAAGTGAATGACTGTTGAGCAGGCAGGAGACAGACAAATACCTCTTAGTAAATTGCTAATTAACCACCATGAATTAGCTTCTGCAGCCCATTGATACTGCAAAGAGCTTCAATATAATGATTTCATAGATAAATTTCATCAACATATTATTACAGGCAATTTAGCAATAGTTCAAAACCAGCATTTAAGAATTTTAATGGAAAAAGGTACCAAATTTAGACCAGTACTAAAAATTAACAAACCTCACAGTTTTAAGTTTCGTAAAAAATATAGACGAATTTATAGTTAAAACTACTTTCAAATTAAATATTCCAAATTCTACCTTTATGGCTTGGAAACATGCAGTATTAGAAGAATTCAAGCAAAGAATTCGAAAAATTGAATTTAATAGCAATTTACAGTGGAATATTCTCATTCCTCTTTTACAGGATTTAAAACAAAAGTTCATTATAACCAAAATTGACAAAGCCAATAATAATTTTAGCATAATATGAAAAATTTTTTATGTCTCATTAATTAATACTTAATTAAATAATGCCATTACTTACAAACTCACCAATATACAAGAAAATATCATTGCAAAAAAACTAAAAGCAATTCATAACCATAATTTGTTTAAAACTACAAATTTCACAATCATCTAGCTACAATAGATTAGCAAATCTAGATGCTCTTCCCTAAATTTCATAAATCACCATTCAAATTTAGATTTATAGCAAATGGTACAAATAATTATAAAAAGAATATAGATTACATATTTGCAATTAATACTTTAAAAAAATCTGTATTTTAATTCCATCAACTAGTTAACAAACAACACAATTATAGTTGGATTATTTATAATAATGTTCCAGTTCTCAAGCAAGTTTTAAAAGTTTAGACAATCAATAACATTAACTGCTATGACTTTGAAAAACCTTTATACTTCTCTACCATTAGAAGAAATTTTAGTATAGTTAATGCAATTCCCCACAACTTTTTCCTGACATACTTGACATCCTTAGTATTGAAAAATGGAATAATTATCTGAAATGTGCATTATTTAATAACTAAATTAAATTCAATAATAAAATCTTTCAGCAAGTTAGAGGAATTCCTATGGGAGCAAACAGTTCTACACAAATTTGTAACCTATTTCTTTTTACTTTTGAATATAAATTCCGACTAAGTTTAAATAAAAATGAATTAAAGCTATTTGCGCATACTTTTAGATACATAGATGATATTATAACTTTCAATAATAATTCTACTTTTGAGCAATTCAAAATTTACCCAAATAGTTTAACACTTAAACGAATACGAATCAAGATACTATTGAATACCTAGACCTGCAAATTATTAAACACAGCAAAATTAAATTATATGATAAAAGAAGGAATTTCCATTTTCATACTATTAAACTAATTAATTGGAACTCTAGAAAAGTAATAGAAAACACGTTTCCTAGCCAAATAATCAGAATAAAAAATATATATACTGAAATAGACGATTTAAAGGAAGAAATAATAAAGCTAATAAATGTTCAAGTTGATAACCAAGTATCACCAAAATTTATTAATTTATATATTAAAAAGGCAGGCATTAACTTTATAATTTTTTGGCTCTTTTTGATATTATAACATTTCCTTAAACCTTAGCTGGAGGGTAATGAAGGATAAAGAAGAGTAGAGAAATTATTTGTAAATTTTTATTGTAAATAAATTTGTAAATATGTATATTTAATCAATACTGAATTTTTTCCTTTTACTAATAAAGGGCCAACTCTTTTCAAAAGTCTCAATTATAGCCCGAATTGAGTGAAGATTTAATCTTTTTCTTCTAATTTTCCATACTTTAGCCAGTATTTAGTTAAGTTTTGATATACCAGTTAAAATCAAGTACATTAAACTTTCAATTTTTTCTCTCTTTAAATTTAACTTCTTTAAGGAATTTTTGGGAAATTACTGGGAATTTTTTAGAGGTTTTTTAAGGACTTCATTTCACAAAAATTTTGGGAAATTTTTTGACTTTTTAAATTTTGCTTTAAAAACTTAAATTTTAAAACATTTCATTTTTACTTAATTACTTTAATTATTTACCTTCCATTATTTACACAATTTTTCAACAGAACACACATTTCACATTACAAACAGTTTACATTTATTAATTCACAATACCACTTCACTCTATTTTACTTCAAGCAAACTTACCTCTCTTGATTGGCTTAACTCCCTAAATAATTTATCGTTAAAATAAAAACTTGTATTACATACCTTTAGGATTTTTAATTTTTAATTTAATTTTTTCTAGATTTATTTTTATATATTTTAATATTAATGTTTGCAAAAAATAATTTTAATATAACAAAGATAGCAGCTTGGCACACAACTTTACCTACATAAGCGCCATCTATATAATTAATTTGAAGAAAACACTTACTTCTCTTTCAAAACACTTTTGCAGACCCCAACGCTCATTTAGTAGGTAAGTTAGAATTAAAACTTACTATTTACTTGCTTTAAGTATTTTTTAAAATTTTTATGTAGTATTTAAGTATTTTCTAGATATGAAATTATATTTTAAGTATATATTTGTTTTTTAAAAATTGTGAATTAGTTCTTTATGTTTCTTATTGGTTTATATGGATTATGTCTAGTTCTTTTTTAGTTTCTTTTTATTGATATGCATATTCGTGTCGGGGTGGTTTCTATAGACAAGGATTTCTAAATACATTAGTTTCTAGATTATTTTTTATAAAAAATTAATTTTTTTTTTAAATTTAAAAATTTTAATTTTTTAAAAAAGTTTTAATTAATACTTGTCTTTACTTGCTTGTTTCTGAAAAGACTTCATTAGTATTTTCTTTTTAAAACTTTAATTCTTAAATGCTAATTTCTAAGGGTACCACTTTATTAGTATTTCTTTTTGGACATTCTTCACTTTTTACTTTTGATTTTGACTTTTACCCTTGCCTGCATGAATGACGAAACACGAATTGAATGATTGGAGAGTTAGGTTTGGAGGCAACTTCCCCTTGATAAGTCTGTCTCCTGCCTGCTCAACAGTCATTCACTTATGCATTTTTAAAAAAAAATTGTTTGGATTAATTTTAATTTGCTAAATTAGTGAATTTATTTTCATGGATTGGTATTGCACTTGATTTGCTTATGCTTCTGAATTTAAATGAGATTGTAGATTAGTTCGAGAATTAAATCTTTTAAATCTTTTATATGTTTACACATTTTTTAAATAATTTTTTTAAATTTTTTTGGTTTTAAATTTGCTTTTTTTAATTTTGGCTTTAAATTTGCTTTTTTACTTTTATACGTGTTTGTTAAAATTTAAATTTAATTTGTTTTAAATATATATATATATATATATATATTATATACTAGTTATTCCAGGCTATAATTTGGTATTATACTTAAATTCCCGTCTTTTGAGGAGAGAGGAAAGCCAGGTCAGAAAGCATAAAATTAAACTGTTTATAAAGAATTTCGCGGACTTATACTAATATCATCTGATACTGTGTAAGCAAAACCTCAGCTGAAATTATTTTGCTTGATCCACTGTCACCATTCAACCAATTTTATGTTGCTGAGTCAAAATATTTCATAAAAGCTTTTCTTTAATTAACAAATAAAACCGCTATTTCATTAATATATAGGAACAATATTTGATATTTACTTCTAGTAATTGTAATGAAAACTGAAATCAAGTTTTAAAGAAACTTGTTCATATTTGCTTTATAAAACATTTATAAAGTTGGTGAAAATAAGTGATTATAATTTTCTTTCTTAAGGCATGCGAAAATTTTACAGAAACCTCTATTATACATTTTCGGTAATGCACAATGAATGCTTTATTTACCCTTCCTTTGTTATCGCTTCCATTCAAATGAGAAATTAATGGATAAAGTCAACCTAATTACTGATTACGAATAAGAAAATCTCAATTTCGCATTTAAAGTAAGTACAGTGGAAGAAATTAACTGTATTTTCTATTGCGGACTATTGACAAGTAATATCTTTTGTCATTTCAAATAGCTGTTTCATAAAACAATTATCTTTTAGCTAAGTATAAGGCATTCTGCATTAGTTTAATAAACATTTTATCTAATTATTATTTTAAATTCTAATCTGAAAATATTAAAAGCTTCAGGTATCAAATTTTATTTTATATTGCATTTATGAAAGAAATTAAACTAAATATTATTCATTGACTGGAAAACTCTGAACATCTTTGAGCACTGAACATGTATAAGCAGATTTTTATTTTATTTTTCAACTTACAAAGCATTTATAAATTCTAATTTAGCGTTGAATACTTAAAAGCTTCTAATAAACTCTCCATTAGATTGAAATTAGTCATTTTCTTGTCAATAGCACGCTGTAAGTTGGTTATGTATTACTACGCAAGGGAAACAACAGCGATTTAAATTGATTTGTTTTTTAAAAAGCATTCAGCCAGTCAATTGCTAAATGCTACTTAACAGCCATTAAACAGGTGAAATATTTAAGACACACATTTTCCCATATATCACTATAACCAGTAGTAGATTTCCGGTTCGCACAA